TTATATATAAATTTTTATTTAAATAAAAAAGAAAGCTCGAATCCCAAGCCAATATGTGTATCAAATCCTTGACCAGCCAGGTCTGTAGGGCATAATCAAATTCAATGTGAAATAGTATATAAACGCGGTGCCTTGACTGGGCAAATTAAATAATTGCTACTCAAAAGAGTCTTCTGTTTGGACTCTCCTACTGGTAGGCAATAGTGGGACTGTATCCCCTCCCACCCCCCATTTTGTTTTATTTAACAGTATGATGAATGCAAAGCTTAGCCCAAGGTTGCTATGACCTCAGCAGGAGTTAAGGTTAAGGAAAAAAACTAAAAACCAAGAAAATTATTAACTCTTGCTTTACCCAACCAAAGCAATGCAGTAATTTATTACATAACCAGTGCTTTCCAATTTAGTAGTATAACCCAGAAAGAAAAAAAACAAGAACAGGCCAAGAAGGTGCAGAGGGAGCAACACTTTAAAATCATTCTCCACAGACGACTTCATATACAGGGTCTCACCCTGGTGCATGTTGAAAGAGTCAAAAAAACGTGCAGCAAGAACAAAATCTCTTTCATTTCTTTAACTTTTAAAGAAAACATCTAGAAAAGCTTACTGTTTCTCCAACTTATGCTTACAAAGCATCAATGTGGAGAAGTAGCACACTAGATGTCATGCAAAATTTGCTTTTCAGCACATCTGACAGGATCTGTGCTATACCTTAAGTGGTCATTTTGATGCAACTTTTCCCCTAAGAAAGGGGAATCTAGGAAAGAGTCACCGCAGCAGTGGCAGACAAGTTGCAGATTGATTCTCAGGTGTCAAATTCTAATACACACAGACCTTAAACAATGCCAACTTTAAAAAAAGAAATAAAAATTCCCCTCTTTTTTAAAGATTGCCATCATTGATGTGCACAAATCAAAGGTGTTGGTCTCCTTCAGTAACAGGCCCTCACAACAGCATTACAATTAAATAACCGATGGATCACTGAACAAAACAAAGAACAAAAAAAACCCCAGGTTATAGAGGAGATTATTATGTTTTTAATAATAAAATAGCAATGAAGAAAAAACAAAGGCAAGAGTTGCTGAGAAGGATGCATACATGAAAGACCTCTTTTTCAAAAGGCAGAGAGGTCTGTAAGCCCCTCTGCATCAACTTAATTGTATGGACTTTGGGTAAGCTTGTTTTAAAGGCATAGTGAGAAGGGGGGGAAAAAACCCCAGCAAACACTGGATGAACTAGCATGGTTCACCAGCTCATCGGCAGTTAACATCTTTCTTGCAACTGCATAACCTTATGTTCACTCTACTTCCTGTTTCTAGAGATTCTGCCTTGGTCACAGCTGCACAACCTGCACTGGTTAGTTAAGCCTCTCTACAAGCAGCCCCAGCTAACCAGCTTCAGAAATACCCATGCTGTAGTACATCAGTCTGCATTCTGCTGACCTCTTTAGACCAGAGAGAAAATAAAAGGCCAGCAAACCTTCAAATAAAATAAGTTGGGCACTTATTTTGTTATCCTCTTTAATTACACATGCTGTGCTCAGACATACACGAAGGACTGCACCTGTTGCATTGGAAAGATTCCATCACTTGTACTTTAAACTCAAGTAGTTTAAGCAACGAGCCTTGCACAAGCTAGGGTTCAGTTCCTAGCCACAATGGGAGGAATTGTTTTAAGAATGAAGTTTGCTGCACATCTTTTGACACTGCAATTCACAGCTAGTCTCCAGCCCTCATTCTTTTTTTACCCTTAAACCATACAAAGAAGTGGCCAGGTTGTTTTAGTCGTTGAGAAATTAAGGTGATAAGGAATTATGCACTGGGTATGTAATAATACCAAAATAAAAGAAAAAAGCTACTTCATTAAGATCATACAATTAATCAAACAGAGTATATATATATAATATCTTTTTTTTTTAAGCCCTGGGATCCAAGGCATCCAAAATTACTAAAATAAAGTTCATTCACAGAACAAAAACAAATTTAATTTGAATCGCTTGCAGATACTGCTAATTTTCATTTTTTTAATTAAAAAATGCGTTAATGTGAACTATGTGCAGGATTTGTTTCTTGTAGTTGTGTTTGTGCACATTGCCTCTGGACCTGGTGCTCTGCTGCTGCTGTTGCTCCTGGGTTTCTCCAATCACCCCTGGAAAAAAACATGATGGAAGCTACCAACACCCCAGCAAAAGAAACTCTGGGGTATGCTGGCCTCGCTTCATGGAGCAGACGTGGGCGTAACTCCCGCTCTCTGGGAGTCATGGTTGTCTCCCCCTCCCTCTGGGTCCTCTGACAGGCTGAGAGAGGCCGTCTTGTTTGACAGGAGGCCGATGTTCTCTTGTGTCAAGGCTGATCCATTTGGAACATCACTGCTGAAAAAAAGTTGAGAAAGGGGGAAGGGGTGAAGAGAAGTAATTACTGAGATTTTTCTTTTAAGTAAAAGGACTTCAATATTTGTTGCCAGAGCATCTCAATGAACAGTTGTGAACATATGTGAAGACTTGCTTTGTATAACAAATAGGTTGTCTGGTATGCTGCAGGTTCTTATCAGAAAGAAGAGCTAATATAAGGCTAATTGAAAACAAAGACGACTACATACTTTTAGGGTTCTAGATTAGTTATGTTTTGCAAAGTATTTCAGTATATGCCACAGGATGAACAGTATCAATCTGTACAATGCACACATTCCAGAATATTTAACTTATCTGGATAATTTATGTTAAATTGTTTTATTTAAAAAAGAGAAATAATTGTTTCAATTTCACTACTTTCAGAATTTCATATGCAAAAATTAAGTTTCCACTCTGGAGGCCCCAATCTAATGGTGCAGTGCAGAACTCAAGGATCGGTTATAGGACTTCATAAGCAATTGAGAGGGATAGACTTTCTGAATAAACACAGTTTCTGAATAAATACCCAGATTCCAAACTGCTCACATGAAGTTATGTAAACTTGACTTAGTGAAACATCTGCAGCATTTGAGCTTTTTCTATTCAAAGTATTAATCTGGATACACAGATGCTTCCAGCATTCCCAGCCAACATGTTATTTCAATTGACTATCAAATGAGAATTTAAATCAATCCCAGCATCTACACAGATAAAAATTATTGCCTACAAATAAAAGTGAACTTTGTTTCAAAGTTACATACCTTCCTAGACAACATCCACATCACAAACCTTAGCAGGATGGAATAACTTTCCTCTCACATTTGGAACATTTCTTTTCTTTGAAACTAAAACGGTAGATAAAGATTTCTTTTATGGTTGTTGTTTTATCTCCTGCTCCTCCCTACTAATCATCCAATATTGACTAGATGGACTTCTGGTCTTACAATCATTGCAATTCTTCTGTTGTGTTAATTGATACACAGTCTCATTCCACTCACCTACTCATCAGCTGAAATGGCCCTTAATTCATGCTTGCACTCTAAAAGCTTGATTTGTATAATCTTTTTGTAGTAGATGCTTCCACATCAGAGATAATGTGAGGCAAAGGGGTATTATTCATATACCAGAGAGTGACCCTCATTAAGTCATTCTCTTTATACAAAGAAAGGTTGAAGACCCATGTTACCTGAATGTCAGTGCGAGGTCCTCAGCTGGAACCTTGCTTTGTGGTTCTAATTGTCCATTTTCTGTCTGTTTAGTGGTGCCCAGTTTGGTTTTTATATCCAGTGAAGACTGGCTCTCCTTGAAAAAAAAAAGGACAGAAGAAAAATTCTTTAATATTGTGTTAGAAGAATTTGAGACTTCATCCTTTGGGACCGATGATGAAGGCCTGTAAATTGGAGTCATACAGTGTAACCCACAAAAGCCATGAGACAAGAAAACAGACTAAGATATAGTCATCCTCTCAGGACACAGTATTTCTCGAAAGGAACAGATGATTCTTGTAACAAGCAGCAAAGACCATAGACTGTAACAGCACACAGACTCCTGAACACTAGCCTGTACCTGCAGATGATGTTATGTTATAGCAGTTTATACAACTCATGGCACAGTGACCTTGGAGACAATTCTTAGTTTTCAACAAATTCAGTGCCACACTTATTTTCAAATGGCAACAAAGTAACAGCAGAGTATTTTAAAGTTGCTAGAATTCAAATTCTTCACGAAGAAGAATCAAGATACTTTTCAGGTGGTCTTGAAGAACAAAGGTGAAGAGGGAGACAGATGACTCCAGCTGTGGTCATCCAGCAGAGAGCCTTTTTGCCAGGGTGAAAGGGCTGCAGCCAGCTACACAGCTCTCCACTCCACCTCACTGCCTCCCACCCCCACAGCACTCACCATGCTCAGCTCACGGGTTCTCTTCCCAATTTCCCTTTCCACCTGGTGTAGCTCCAAGCTCAGCTGTTCACTTGAGATCATCCCAGGCCACTTGGGAGGTGGGGGTGGGGGCTGTGGCTGGCCTGCCAGGGTAGTCGCCTCCCTCTGCAACAGCAGCCTGTTACTAACAGCCTAAATGCATAAAGCCAAGCACATACACAACTGAGCACACAACACACCAAGCACAGGAAGAGCTCTAGACCATAATTCTGGAGTATTTGCTTATTTGCAAAACCAAGGCCTTCTCTCTCTGTGTTTAACAAGGTCCCAATCGAAATCACTTCCAATGCAAGTTCAAACATTTTTTACATGCAGACAAGTCTTTTCACTTTTACAAGCAGTGTTAAATACCTTTTACTGTAATAAATTCACAGGGGTTTTCCCCCTATACTGCTCCCTTCTCAAAACTAAGATTAAGCACATGAACAGAAACACCACTCATGAGCTATTTGTTGAACAAAATATAGCAGCGGATAAGCAAATCTGCTGCTTTGCTTTACAGTAGTAGAATTTATCAAATTCTACAGTAGAGCCCATATTATTACTACATCATATAAAATATCTTGAGAGATGTGGATGTCAATATATAGCTCTACTGACCCAGATTAGGAAGCACAGGAACAGAGAAGGGCAAGTGACTACACTCATTCACAAGTTGCAAGTTACTAGAAGGCAAGTAAAAGCAGTAACCATGCCAGCCACTCCAAAAACCTGCTAATACTTGGGAATCAGTTCTCTGTGTGCTCTGCATTTAAACACACTATCTACTACTCCACACAACTGAACATCTGTGTGGTCTTCAAGTAGAAATGCTCATTCACTTGAGAAGAAAGAAAAACAATCTAGTTCTTCATGCTCCGACTGAATTAAGTGATTGCTACAACCTTATAACAGGTAAATCAATAAAGCTTCCTGGATTTCAAATATCTGCTTGCAGCTTTGAACACAAGAGAAAAACTGAAATCTGTTATTACTCAAAATAACCAATTAGTTCTGACAAATTCAAGTTACAGTAAAATCAAGGCTCAAAACTCAACTATGTAGGATTTAACAGTGACACAATCACAATAATAATGAACAGAAGAGGCAGGCCGCTTACAGGTTTTGCAACTTTCCAATACTCTTCTATTATGGCAAAGGCAGACATGCAAGATTTAAAACATTTTTTCCTCTTGTTCCCAAACAAGAGCACAAGAACACAAGTTATGTTTCAAATAACTAAGAAATGCTTACTACTTGCAACTGCTGCTGTGACCTAAAAATTGGGAGCTTTTACAACTAATCTGTAATAACCCTCCTCTATAACACGTGTTCTTATGTAACCATAGTTTCAGCAGAAGCTGCTATCCACTATTTATAGCAATTCCTTCTGGAAAAACATTAATATGAATAGTTGCTGAGGTACTAGAATAGTTTTCTGGTAAATATTTACTGATTTTTCCTAGGAGGAAAAAAAAATGTAACTAAAGCTTTGCTAAAACAATTCTTTCATTATGCCTTCACATTCCTCCTTGTGCGTCTCACAAAAATACAAAGATTTCAGCTCATTTGTTGTTTTACAAATGCAGACTCCTAGCTTTTCTCATGTTGCAAGTGACTACATTTCTTCTAAGCAAGGAGACAAAATATTAAGCTTTAACTTTTCAAGCTAAATATCTTAAATATTTATTCTCTTGACTCCTGTGGCTTGTGCTATTTAGGAAGAAACAGGTACAACACAATGCCAAACATGAAACGAAGGTCATAGCTTTCTGTACATACAATCAGACATTTTCAATGGCAGTAAAGCCAAGAGGAACAGGTACCTACACCACAAGTTTGCCTCTGAGTTAACAGATGAACAGAGAGGGGGAGCAAGTGAGAGAGAGTGAAAGCAAACATGAATGAGCACAGAGTGCAGATTCAAGTATGGTGTTGATTTGTACGTGAAGTGCAGGAAGTTTCTGCTGCTAAGCAGAGAGGTTTACACTTGTACCACAGTCTTGATGCCTGGCATCACAGAATTAAGTATTGTTACTGAATATCATTACAGTCAGAGAAAGATCATCAACACATGAAAAGCAACTTTACTAGCTTCATCTCTCTCCATACCACCCCTCACCACTCTTCCAAATGTTGGTACCAACCTCTAGTCCTCGCATTTGTGTCTGCTGGCTAATCTGATGGTCTACTTGCTGCAGCTCCATGCGCAGCTGCTGCTCTCGCTCCGCTGAGGGCAACTGTTTCCCATGACCAGCCACATCTGACATGGACAGTCTCTCCCTTTGGGATCAGAAAAGCAAAAAAATAAGGAGATTTAAAAAAAAAAGCTTTACTCAGCTGAAAGAAATAAAGAAAATTTAGAAAAAGGCAAAGAAAAAATAAAATAGTCCTACCTGTCGTTGAAACGTCCCTGAGAAGGTATATTTTGATGAGGAGAATATGGAGAGCCTCCCCAGCCACCATGAGTTCCGTAAGGATTGTAGTCTGCCAGTGAACAGAAAGAAAACCACGTTGCACTACTACAAAACTATCCTTTAAGTAGTTTAGCCAACCCACAGAACTGGACAGAAATTGGAGAATAACCAGGAAGGGCAGCCCTCTAAGACTGAGGAAGTCTAACATTTCTTCTGCTGAAATGAACACAAAAATACTACGTGTGACCAGTCTCACATGCATAATGCATGACTCTTCCTGCACGTGGAATAATACTTGCTACAGCCTTCCAGTGTCTATGAGTTTGTGAAGGACTTCAAACATGCAGGGGGGCAAGGACACAAAACCAAACTCACAGCCACTATGATAGCAATTATTTTTATTACTTAGGTTCTTAAAAGACTCAAGAGTTGATTGATAATTCTGAGATAACTAGTTAACACTGGTTTGGAAGATTAAGCTTTCAGGGAAGCCAAAGTTCTATCTGTGATAAAGTCTAGAAAGTTACTGCTTGAATTAAGTGAATGACTTTTTGTTTTGTTTCCAGCAGTTAACTCCTGAAAAAATCTAGAAGGAAGTTTGGGGATATATAATTAAATCTTGTCTTAAGATTATTCAGTGCACCTCAAGAAAGAGACCATCTTTTGGATTAAGACATACAGCCACACCATACATGCAATTAGAAAATAGATGGGTAGAAAAGAAACCATTCCTACTTTATTTGCTTTGCCTAATAGTATACAAAACTGCTGCATTAAGCTTGCAGCAGCAACTATCAATAAAGTAGGAGTGTGGTACAGTACTTCATTATGATGGTTTAGCATTATATATTTGAGAAAGCAGTAAGTTTCTGGAGTCTACTACAACAGATTTAAAAGAAGCCTCATCTCAGAGGGACCAGCAGAACAAAATAACTTTTTCAAACACCAATAAATCACCAACACATACACTACACGTGCACAAACCTGTCCGTGGAACAGGAAGTAGTGGCACCCTTTTTCTTCACGCTTCTCCGCATAGCCCTACCTAGAGTTATTTTTAGTGCCATAACATACATCTCATCTATATTTCTAAGGCAAGACACAAGTTTACAGGGGATGTCTTCAACTTGCACTACAATGTAGCACTAAGGAAAATAGCAACAGCCAGCAAAATCCAAGAGCACACATCATACCTGAAATGATTGATTTGGTGGTAGCTCCCTGAACTGCCATGGCCTGCATGGGACCAGAATTCTGGTACATCGCTTTGGAAGTACGAGAGATAGCCCCAAATCTCGACACAGTTGGTCGGTCTCCAAATGGAATGAGGTCATCATCACCAGTCTCTGCTGCTCTTCGCTGCATGTCTAATCGCTGGTCACGCATGGCTTTACTATCTACATTCTAGACAACATATGGAAAAGGCAGTAAAAAACTTATTCAGAAATGAACAAAACCACATTCCTTTTACAACAAGCTGGTACCAGTATAGTAAGTCTCTCTTGTATTCTCTATTCCCTTCATCCTTCAACTAGTCTTCCTATTCTTCAGTTTATAACCCCACTGTTAGAGTGACATCTCTTAATGGTCTAACTTAAGATGACCATTACTACCACCACTGTGAAGTAGTTGCACAATTAATCATGAACAAATCCAAGAGAAGGGAGCAGCAGCAAAAGGCATTTAAGACAGAGAAAGTCTAATGGGACCAGGAAAAAAAAAACCCTCCAGAATAAAGTCGAAGAGGAGCTCAATGGGCATCTCTGAGGAATACATATTCCTTCCAAAGTCCAAAAGAAAATTCTCTGAAGCCTAGTGTCAAAACCATATCATCTAACAGCCTGCAGAGACTCAAAATGGGAATTATTCAGTACAGCACTTACTTGGACATGTCTAGTACATCTTTTCAGGCACATTTTTCATTAAGTGGTAGTACTGATTGGAACATCCTGGTTTCTAGCTCAGCTTCAGACTCAAAAACCTTAATGGGTCAGCAAATGAACAGATAAAAAATATTCCCTCTCTACTCAAAGAGCTTCGCCAAGCAGTCACAAAGGAAAAGATATGCCCAGAAAACAAGCTCAATTTAGCAGCATAAGTCAATTTGACTTAACTAACTTAGAAGAAGAAACAACAGATTATCATAAGGATTTTTAACAAAGCTTTTCCTGAGATAAAGTTAGGCCAGTTATGGGAGAAATCACCTGGAGTGAGTAATTTAAAAACACAAGTCAATGGGTTGTTTCCATGAATAAAAATAAATTTAAAAAAAAAAAAGCATCCTCAATGCAAAAGAAACAAAACACCCCCCCCAAATAATGGGGGTTATTATTATTATTACCCCACCACATCCAGATAAACACAAAACAGTAACAGACTCAATTAAAAAAAAAAAAAAAAAAAAAAAAAAAGAAACAGCACTTAGTTAAGTGGGAATGCTATCTGTTGGCTGCCAGAAAACATGACACGGTTAAGAATTGCCAAAAATCAAGTTAAGACTAAAGAAATAAAACTGTAGCACAGTGCTGTGTACAGCAAAAAGAACAAAGTGAGGCTACTACACAAAGAGGACTGGCTAAAGGCTAAAAACTTCAGTATGGTCCAAAATGAATAAAACTCTGCAAGCCTTCAGTGAGGATAATGATTGCTAGAAACAGACAAGATAATATAGCTAAGGCAGTGCCCTGGTTTCAGATGGGATAGAGTTAGTTTTCTTCCTAGTAGCTGGTATAGTGCTGTGTTTTGGATTTAGGATGAGAAGAATGTTGATAACACACTGATGTTTTAGTTGTTGCTGAGTCCTGCTCATGCTAGTCAAGGAGTTTGCAGCTTCCCATGCTCTGCCAGGTGCACAAGAAACTGGGAGGGGGCACAGCCAGAATAGCTGATCCAAACTGACCAAAGGGCTATTCCATACCATATGGGGTCATGCTCAGTATATAAACTGAGGGGAGTTGGCTAGGGACCAGCGATCGCTGCTCGGGAACTGTCTGGGTATCGGTCGGCGGGTGGTGAGCAATTGCATTGTGCATCACTTGCTTCGTATATTATTATTACTGTTATTATTATATTGTTATTATTACTACTACTATTTTACTTTATTTCAATTATTAAACTGTTCTTATCTCACCCCAGGAGTGTTTCTCACTCTTACTCCTCCGATTCTCTCCCCCATCCCCCTGGGGCAGGGGGAGTGAGCGAGCAGCTGTGTGGTGCTTAGCTGCTGGCTGGGGTTAAACCAAGACAGGCAGAAATAAAGGGGTGAAAATGGCAGTTACAACTGAGTTGGAAGCTAAACTCAAGACATACAACATGCTGGAATTGGAAGAGGCATTAGACAGCATCTACTTTGGAATTCTGAAAAAAATAATGACATTTTAATATCGGGTCTGTAGGATGCTAGTACCAATTTTAATTTATTTCCATTTGCTGAGTGGGGAGAAATAACGTAGTGAAGTTGCAATGCCGTCCGCATAAAATGCAGCATTATGTACTCTCAGATGATACTGTTCCTATCTTTGAAAAAAGGAATTTTATGAACAATAAAAAAGGAAGAATTAATTCACTTGCCATCTGTGCTTAAGGTCTGAGTTTCTTCCTGCAAGGAGACAGAAAGTGAAGAGCAGCAGAGATCCTATTTGCTTATCTGAAAATCAGCTCTGGGGCAGAAGAATGCTTTGTTTAGCAACGAAGGAGGCTGCTTCTCTAGATCCCTATTACCTCTCTTAATTGAGTTCCAATTTGTTTGCACAGTCTTCTAGCAGCAGGGTTTAGAACTGTTTGTTGATTCCTGAACACTGCCACTCAGACAGCAATAAGCTGATTCTGAGTAATCTCAGTACCTTCCCAGTTCAAATGTGACAGTATTATGACTCAAGGCAAACAAACTGCATAGGACAGAGGAAAAGGACATGTGAAAAACCCAAAGCTGCAGATTAAATGCCTTATCTTGCTCTGCTTTTTCTGGGAGAAAGCCTCCTTTTTGCTCCCATTTCACACAGTGCCTTTGAGGTCTTACAGGAAAGCAATTCAGTGGACAGAAACTAGATGAATTTAATTCCAATGAGGCAGAGGGGAAACAGGGGAACCTGCTTGTGGGCAAAAAGGAGAAGCTGGAGAGAAAAATCTTATGATTTATTTAAGGGGTTGCAACAGGTGAGCACCTGTCCACAGAATAATAAATTCAGGATAGAAATTTCTTCCCCCTCCCCTTACTGGCCAAAGAAAGGTCACCATGGCAGTGACAATATATAAACAAAAGATGACAGAACACTTTTGCAGCTGGGAGGTGAAGGAGAAAAACAAATACATCCCTAAAATAGTCCCTCAGACTAAACAGTCCTTTCTCTTGAAGACTTGAATTTCTTCCTACCTGCATGGGCTACCAGCATACTTCGTGCTGTTGAGTGATGCTTAAAACTTAGGAAGAAACAGAATAGTGACACTATTTCAGAATCCTATTTCTTTTCTTCTACATCCATGACTCCCAATAATGACACCCTAGCAGCCCCTTCTTTTTGCAAAACTGACCTAGCAAAAAATGCAGTAGCACAAAGTAAGATCACAGCCAGACACCCACGGCTTCAGTGAAGGACCGAATTAAGCACAGCATAGAGTTAGAAATTGCCCTCAAGAAGAATCAGCTTAGTATTATGACTATGCTTCTCTCAAAAACTTCATACAAGTTTTGGGTATTCTTGTGGTCACAAATCACAGAGTCCTTCAAGTAAAAACTAATAACGTTGTTAACAGCAATCACAATCACCTTAAAAGGAATTATTAGCACAAAGTTAAGTTACAGCATCTCCCTCTGACAGGAAGAACTACAGGAAGCAACAGATGGATATGTTTAACTGACAAGCTATGAGTATAGAGTCATTTTTGGATTTCAAGTGTAAAGAATCATGGCAAAATCTCTCATTATCCATTGCTTTAGAGCAGAATGGTTAGCCTGCATCTATATCCAGAATTTTAAAATAGCTACACAGATGTAGGACTGTTCATAACTTTGAAAACAAAGCACTCTGCACACTTGTAAATGCATTCTTTGGCTGTAATGCACTTTTGCGCTTAAATACAAGCGCTACCATCATCCTGGAAAGCAAATAGATGAGTCCTTCCCAACCCACAGAAGCATCAACTTCTCTTCTGTGTTCCCCTAATCCCTACATACCGCCATCTCCACACTCCTTGCTGCCACAACATCTTTGGGTTTTGCATCTTTGGTTCCAATGTAGGAGCCGATGGTGTCACAGGACCAGGGAGAATACTGGCTATAGTCATTTCCTTTGTATTTCCCAGCTACCTTCAGGTCTTCATCCAAGTACTGTACAAACACAAAAATCTGGTTCTGTAAGTGAAGTGAAGAAGCAGCTTCACAGCCATCACTACTTAGTTCAACAGCAGTGAACTTAAAAAAATAATTCTGGTGGTGTTTTTCATCAGATACAGCCCCATTTGGAATTGGACCACAGCAAGCACAAAATGCGTGAAATTCTGATCACCTGGCTACACTCCCAATGCTGATTCTTCACTTGGCCCAGATGAAAGTGATATTTTGACCTTGGTTAAAAAAAAATAAGCCTCTAACAGGCTGTTACATAATTCTAAACATGTCAGGACCAAATGAAGCAAAGTCCAGTAATTGTGAAGACTGACTACTTCAATTAATAATGGTGCAAAACTAATTATTGTGGTTGCATCAAAAGCAGATAGCTTAGGATCAGTGGTAGATCAGGGAATTAACAGCCAATCAAGAGATTGGAGACTGCAATTAAGGGCTTCCCACCTGGAGCACAAAATCTAACACCCCCAACACCTGCCAACACTGTACTGTTTTAATTTTCTTGTTGTCCTCATGTATCAGCACATACAAACTCCAAAGTCTTTTCTAAACATGCTAGTAAGTCACATTTTTGTCAAAATATGCTTACCTCCTCTGAATGAAAAGGATGAGGCAAGGTTGGTGACGGTGCAAAGGGAGGTGGAGAAATCACCTTCCTTTCTTCTAGCTGGGCCATGATCTCTTTTCGTCGTCGGTGAAGTTCATCCAGACTGGGATGCGGCTGAAATGAAGACAGAAATACATTACAAAATATGACAGCCATATACTGCAAGAAAAGGAAAATACAGCGACTAGACAGTATCATTACAATAGTAAGTAGTGATCACTTTGCTAAAGTCTGCCTGTTAACTTTCATGTTTAATATAGGACATGCATGTTCCTACACTGGCCAGAGTGTTAGCTCAAGACACCCCAAAGGCAAGGAATGTTATTTGCCTAAAACTGCTTAGATCCTCAACTAACACAGTGTTCCTAACTTTAAAACTACTAATCTTTTAACTCAACAAGACTCTGTGTTCCAACTTGGCAGAGTTTCCATTGGAACATATTCCAGCATCGCAAGTCCCCATTTCAGTCATATGGGGGGAAGTGGTAGAACTCTACAGACCATAACCTAGTCACAGTTAGTTTGCATTTATTATTCATTTTATAATAGAATTAAACATACCACAAATGTGTCATACTCAAAACTGATAAATCTATAAGCTACATTAAGAATGCTTCCTGGACTCAGCAAGATTCAGAGCCTTTAATCTGAATGACAGCTATGTAAGTCCAACTATTCTACAGGACTCAATTCCAGCTGGTGATTTACCAAAACCAGTTTGTACACTTCTACTAGGAAGACCCTCCAGTTAGCAATCAAAGCAGAGAAAACGTGGAAGAGCAGAATTTTTAGTTCCTTTATCAAGGATGTATGTTTGCATATTTACTTATTTAGGCACAGAGATGGTCAGTCATAGATGGGCAGTACAAGAATGTGCACACAACCATTTGCACACACTGTATTTAATCTGCCCTAGAAAGAGAGTGGCCCTCTCCAGCCTAACCTTCATTGGAGAAGTCAAGGCCATATAAAACTTCCAAAGTTAGTTACAACGCTTTTCTACTTCAAGCACTAAGTAGCATCCACTCCTTTACATATTAACTTCATTATAACCGCAGTGTTGACAAGCAAGTAAGCTACCTTCCAGTTTTTGACGAGCTTCGTCAAATGTACCCCTTCTTAAAGTTCAAACTTCTAATTCCTCACAAACCCCATCACCTTGCTGCAAAAATCCGCAACTTCAAGTAGTTTATATTTTCTCTCTCTCAAACAACTACAAAAACACAAAATAAAAACCATACCCTGTGGCACGAAGGTCTGATCTGACTGAGATGTGGAGCCACTGGGCAATAACCCTCTGTTTGCTGGTATCTGTCTCTGGATTCAGGTACGTAGGAAGGTACAGCTGCTTGTGGAATATCAATGGGTACAGGGCTTCCTCGGACAATCTCCTCTCGCTGATATGGCTGGACAGGGGGATATACACGACGGCTGTCATAGTGCGGTGGGTATATGGGTTGTCCCATAGGAGGATACTGCTGCGGCTGCGTGTACTGTGGGCTCACCACACGATCCTGAAGGTAGGGTGGGTAATGGTCTAAATAAGGCGGACCAGGTTCAGGAGCTGATGGAGGAGGTCGAACAAAGCGAGACATGGATTGAGTGGGATAGTAAACTCCTGAAATAAGGCAAGAGGAAGACACAAACAAGATACAGAAAGTGATTATCACAACTGTCCACAAAACCAGATTTTTTAAAATACTCCGGTGTACAAGTATCATGAATGGTATAAATTAATTCACATTTATTGTTTGCACCCACTGTCTAATTGGTATTTCTACTCAAAAATAAACCACAGAAAACCTAGGAAAAGCAAAAGTTGATCCAAAGCTCAAGTTTAATTATCAAGTTTTATTATCAACTTTAATTATTATTAGTTTATTTATTTATTATTTATTTACTCAGTTTAATTATCTAAAGAAGATACCAGCAAGGTGTAAAGGTCACAGTAGCTGGAGAAGAAGTGATGAGACTGAGCCCACCACAGGTACCACAGTAATCCTGCTAGCCTACCAAATAGAAATAGTTCACTAGATTGTCTCTGCAGGTTGGTATGAAGGCTTTTAGCTACACAAGGCCTAAAAAGTAAACTGAAGATTAGCCTGTACATCTTTATCCACGCAACTAAAATTCAATTTGTCCCAACATGTCAGAGCCACTGCCTGTGTAAAGAAACTTGGATCAATTAGAATTTAAAGTTATCTAAAGATTTGTTCCACCTCTTGAACAGTAGAAGGAAATTTCAGTACTGTGAATGACCAAAGACTAAGACCACACCTCCTAGTTACCTGAAGATTTTAGCAATCCATCCAGGATCTCCGGATGATTTAAAAATATGCATGAATATGTGCACATCATCATCAGCGTGTGCATCAAATTTTATGGACAACTCAGATCTTCATTTGCACACAATGATCAAATGGAAGCTTTTTTTAATTCCCCTAAAAATGCTCTGCAACTTTCTCAAAAATGCCCTCCCCCTCGGTAATTTCACCCCTCAAGCCTACACCCCTCTGCTGGTTAGGCTTTGCTTCCATTTTCCCCAAGTCAAATTGATTTAAGGTTTACCAGATCCCTGATCTAGCCCAGTTGGGAAGAACTGAAGAAAGAAGGATTTGCTACACTGGATGGATACAAACCTCTGTTTTCACTTACATTACAGTCCTCAATCAAGACAGAAAAAGCCTGCCAATTTCCATTTTTTTATGCTATCACCACATTAGTGCCTACAGTCCATGTGATATGCAAGAAAACTCCACCTTAAGGGCTTAAGTAAACACCAGAATGGGAAGAAAGAATAAAATCAGTATAAAGCTGAAAGATAGAGATCTTGGTCTCAAACTCACCTTGTTGGTAGGGTGCTGGCTCAAATGGTGGGGCAGCTCCTCTAGGATCCTGATAAAACATATCTGCTTGCTGAGTATTATACAACTGAGACCCTCGTGGTACCATTTGCAACTGCTTGGTGACAGACACTGAAGGCAGATCTGTTGGTGCCCGAGCAGGCACAGGATGAGGGTTCACTGGTAATGCAGAAATAGAACTCTTGGGGACAGACTCCAGCCTAAAAAGTAGAAAGATGGCACTGCTCATTAAGGCCCGATACAGCACACTGTACTTTAAAACACTGCTCTTTGTCTATATTCCACCTTCTGAAGGCTTACATCACCTTTTCCAATTAAAATATAAGCAAACAGGGAAGTAAAGCAGTTTAGAGTTTTAGCTTTAGTCTTCTACTCTACTATTTAATTACTTTAAAAAAACCAAACCAAAACAAACCCCCCGCCCACAAAACAGCCAACGCCCAAAAAACTGTTCTGTTTCTTTTCTAGAGAATGGGTTTACTTTGGTTCTACTGCACATTTACGCACACAACGCTTTGAACAATAGTTAGGAAGACCCGTACAAGTCAGGAGGGGATCCAGGGGCACTGCTACTCAGATGGTCCATCTTCCCTGGCTTCAGAGCAGTTTCGTAACTGGAGTCAGTCCCTCGAGAAATAAGTTGCGTCACCGTGCTGCCTGTTGACACAATTCCATTTGGCAGAGCAGAAGTTTTCCTACTGGGCAAGTCCACTCCCCCTTCCTCTGAGAGGATAGCTCCTGAAGGCAGGCCCACCTCATTTAGCTGGCCCAGGGAGGCACTCAGGGGTCTTCTAGGAACCAGACGCTTGTTCATTTTACGGAATCTTCAGAAAAAGAAACCACACATCAAAAATTGAAACAAACAAAAAAAAAGTTGCGTTTTCAAGATTTTTCAAACACAAATGCTACCAAAAGCTTCAAGTCTGAAATCAAGTTTCCTAAGGGCTTGAGAAATTTATTACTACTATCTGTTAGACCAACTTCACTGCTATTTGAACTGTTAATAGCAGTTTCAATCAGAAGAACAAGGATGGATTTTTAATGACAAGCACACCAAGAATTCACAGCTGAACTTCACACAGCAAGTTTAACATACGTGCATTTCAACTGTGCAGAAGAAAACCAAAACCAAATATCAAATAAAATACTACCTATAGTAACAGACGCTTCAGAATAAGAATCACAGACTATTCAAGTCTATTTTATTCAGAGAAGAAACTAATAGCAGAAAATTAAAGTGACAAAAGATGAACAGATTCCCTTTTGCACCATTTGTCCAACAATAAGCCAAGTCAAGCCTTTATTGCATGTGATATCTTTAAAGCACAGTTTAAGATTTATGTTACTATACCAATACGCAGCTTAATTTTTCGAACAATGTAAATGGTGTAAGTGATTGCAGAGATAAAAACTCTATGAACACACTGTAATTCCAAAAATCTAACTGCTTCTGGTAAGTCTGAACAAACATGAGCCTTTTAACTAACGTTCCACAAAAATCAGCAGGCTGACAGTACTGGACCAATGAAAAGAGCAAATTCCAGAGTTGAAGGTCCTCCACTAAACATCCTGCCATTAGCTTAGATACTAGAATGCAAGTGGGAGGGCATATTTGTAGGCCTGAGCATTCCCACTGTTTATATTACGCAACAAGAGGCCATTTCCTATGCAAGAAGTTTTCTACAGGGTTGAAGCTACCACTTTCATATCATATCTAACAAGGAAAGTGAAATAGTAACACAGACTAGGAAGGTACACACATTATTGTAGAAAATAAAAAAGGGGGCAGTTATACTCTATTACTCAATCTTCAGATAAATTTGCCCACGTGCACAGCATTAAGAGCAATGCAACAGAGGCAAAAAGCATTTTTTTGTTGTTGCGGTTGTTTTGTTTTTCAGACATGACTGAGTATAGAGTCAACAAAGTGTGATCTTGGTACATAGATTTGAGCTGTTCACCTATAAGAGTTCATTGATTGTCTTCTAGCCACCTTCCTAACTCTCCATCAACACCTCCATTTCCTGGCTGGATAAACCTTTACCCACATAACCAAGCTATAAATTCAAGCTACATAGTGTTGACAGTGGGCATCATTCAGAATGCATTAAAAGGGAGCAAACAAACAAGGCTACTGCCACAGTAGAAGCACCTGAGTAGGGACAGACTACAGCTTTCAAAACATATGCTGCTCAGAAGTCATTCTGGCATCTCATCTCAGCCGTGCAAGTCAGCTGGACACATGGAGGCAAGCAGAAGTGATCTCCCCAGGCTGAACTTATGGCTTTGGCATTCCGCTCAATACCCAAACCAACTTCTCCTTGCAAAGCAGCAGCAAGACATTGGGAAACCACTGCCATGTTCTCCCTGCCAATTACTTCTGGACATCTGCCTCCCATCAGCTCCCTTAGAGGTGCAGTATCTGATGGCTCCTGACTCTCTGAAGGCTTGCACACAACCTGCAAGATGAGGAGGACTGGCCACCCCTGCCCATTGATCTAGAACACAACAGTACACTCAAGAGAGACAGGCACATGTGTATAGACACCCATTCAATCAAAGGTGACAGGAAGAGTTTATCTAGCACCCTCCACTATAAAATACTTTGAGAAAATAGAAGTTGCACAGTGTTGCCCTCTGGATTTTTCTGAACAACTTTATGAATCTTTGTTGCAGTCTCCACACATGCAGGACAAAAATAATCTAAAAAAGTTTAATACTTGCCTTTGCACACTGGGTCTTTGTCCCTTGCCAAGAGGGAAATTAGCTGCTGTTTAACCAAGTCTAAATTATATGCTATTTGAGGCATTACCACGCACTTCCCCACAACCTTCCTGCAAACTTAAAGCTATATATAGAGATACAGGAACTACATAGCAACAGCGATGCATATTATTCACACTACACATTTTTAAAAGGAGGAACACTAATGCAATATCTACTCAAAGGAATTAAGCAAAGATAAAAGGTACAAGAAAGAATCAGAACTCGAAGTTCCCCAACCACCTACAGAAACTGCTGCAACCTGAAACAGAACAAGCATTCACTTCACCCCACAACAACATTACTACTAAAGCATACAAGCCTGTCTGGATGACATAGTCCTCTTCCACCTGCAAAGCTGATGAACAGTCCTTCTTGATACATACAACTAGTTCAGAGGCACCAATACTGACTCACCATCACTGTTAACCATCCAAACCAGCACTACCAATCTCCATTTTCTTAACACCATGACAAAAGGGGAAAAACCTGAACTACTACTTCAGAACATAAGTATCAAAGTCCTATTCTCTGTTCATTTGAATAACTGCCTTTGTCATTCTAACACCACGCCCTCTGCTCTTTTTCCCTTCCTGTTTTGCTTATGTACTGCATGCTGACTATACAGCCAATGAACTGCCATATTAATGCTTCAAGTTTTAGATTAAGAAAGAGATCGCATACTATTTCCAAATCTTTGGAGTTTTCTTCTGTTTAAAAAAAGCGAATTATTTTAGCCCAAAAACCCAAGTAACAAGTTATATATACTACATAAAATGCATTGTATTTATTTCTTGACTCTTAAATAATCCATTTTACATTCAAAAAAAGTAAAACCACCTTCAGAACAGCAGCAGCTTGCTCTTGGATAATCAGGTGCTGCCTCTAAATCTGTAATGAATGTAACTTATTTACTGCAGACTTCACATGACCACCATTTTGTAACTCTTCAACAATAGCTTTAACTGATTTTAGGTTACTGCATGTGCAGTCTGTCAATGAGTTTCAAAGAATACTGTTGCAGAAAGAAAACTCGTAACACTCATTTTTAGCTCTCTGGATAGCCCTAGCAGCTCAGAAGAACAAGAGAACTCCTACATGTGGAAAACTGCCAGCAACCTACCTCTCACACCTGAATATAAAGGCAAGATGAGAAACACACACAAATAAACAACCATAATGGATACAGTCAAACAGCATGTTTAGTCACACTTAAGAAATAAGAAAAACAGCCCACCTCCAAAGTATCAAGTAACACTTGTGTAAACATTAAACTCTCAGAGCTGCATTAATGCTGAACAAAGCAAAAAAAATATCCTATATTTAAGAATAAACAGTTCCAAAACCTAAGAGATAACTGTTACAAGTTTTTCATATTATTTCTTGCTAATGTAACAGACAAGTTATGCCTCCTCTCCCCATTCCTAGATATGATAAATAACTTTTATGAATAAGATGAAACAAAGATTGGACTGATTTCTATTGTAAGAGGTACACTTACTTTTCTAGCTCCTCCTGTGAATGTGCAAAGGTGCAGCTAGCCCCTCGGGGGCACCCTCCTCGCTGTTTCATGTCCCGGCACATGTATGTCTTGTACTTGCTGTGCTGAGGAGGCTGACAAGGTTAAAGAAACCACGTGAGATACTTGAATATAAGTGCACTTAACAGACAGCTGAACATATCCTCTTATTAAAGGCCTGATGTCTGCCTGTTGATAATTCCTTCAATTTAAACGTTCCAGAAGTACCTAATGTGAAATAAATGACTGGAGCAGTATTTGTGTTTGGTTCTTCAACAGAACTAATAGATTCAAGAGCAGATATTTTGACAACTAAGTCACTATCAGGTTTTTAAAAAATTTTTATTCAAATTCCTTACTGGAGCTTGACTGGAACACAGCTGTATATTTCAGGAAACAGTTAAGTGGACAAATCTGATATAGGCTGAAAAAACCCTCCATGCTTAATCAGAAATTGCCAAATATTCATCAAGCTTTGTGGCTGACTGAAAATAAATAAAATTTAGTCAGTTAGTTTTCCGTTGCTTTCTGTTAGCTCAAAATGGCACTTGAGTATCCCTTTGATCTCTATGAGTTATATTTCATCAAGTTCCCTTTTACCCCCTTTGGACTAAAAAACGCTTAACTATTTATGGTAATTATTTCTGTCAATACTTGAGGATGCAATCTTACTCCTACACAGATCAGCAGGGTATGGGTTGTCTTCTGTATTTTTAAGTTTCCCAAGAAATGACTTACTGCAATCTTGCTGTCTGCATGTATGCCCATTTACCAATCTCTCTAAACAAATTTTGACAGAAGGCCAGAGGTAGCCTCAAAGACATTTAAGTTCTCGCAGTTTTTATGGCAGAATTAAATCAGAGGCAGAAAAACCCTATCAGAGTTCCCAACAAGGGAAAGGTCTGTAAAAGTAAACTCTTGCTTTCTGAGAAGCTCAGACAGAAGATGTAAATCCATAAAAAGCCATTTGCAAACTGATTCTTTTTCTTGCCATCTACTGTAGTGAAAAAAGAATTTAGGCAGGGCATATATAAGCTGCACAGCCCTCTGCTGGCCACTGCTGCCAGCCAGCAAAACTCTGCCCAATACTCAGCAGATGTCCCCTTCCCCACTTGGGGGGCTTTGGGTTCCCTTCCAAGTGGCACAGCATGTACCAGGTCTAGGTGATGGTCTCACCAGAACAAAAATCCTCACTGTTTTTCCCACCCCGATTTCCACTTGTGTATTCCTACTGCTTTTCCTTTTGCTGGTAACAGTGCTCATTAGGCATCCCAGTGAACGCAAAAAGGTAGAACAGCAGGAAAAATTCACTCTGATTTTAACCTCTTTTTTTTTTTTTTTCTCCCAGAGATAATCTTTCTACTAGTTCAGCTCCCCAAACCAGCTCTCCAAGAGGACAAGTGCCAAAGCAAGGGAGGGAGTGGGAATGTGTGATAGGCAGCTGTCTTTCACCAGCAGCTAGCATTTATATCAACTTAGCTATATATACCAAAATGAGATCAAAGGAACATGTGAGAAGATAGTTGTGAGATAAGCCAATATATATATTTGGCAACAACATTTCTTTTCCAAAACAATGTGTCATATTAAAACAAACCCAAGAAAATTCCTACAGATCACAGTGCTAGGCACCCCAGCTTCTCTTCCCCACCCTCCAGTCAGGAGGGTTGTTCATTCATTTCCCTAAGCTTGCAGCGGGATCAGACTCTTTTCTTTTCCTTCTAGTGAGCTGGCAAATTAATGCAACAGGTATTGGAAGGGGGTTGTGTTGTTTTGGGTTTGGGTCTTTTTCCTTTCTTGTTTGTTTCTTTTTTGATAAATATGACACAGCAGTAGTATTTTTAATCAGCTCCTCATTAAACCAAATCTCTCCAAATTACATTAGTAAACCTCTACTATTGGATACAGTCAGTAAAATTTAGGGCTAAGGATTTCCTAAATGATTTAGCTTTTACCTGTTGCTGATCTGTTCCTTTCTTGCTGTGATTCTGGATATAATCAACTAAGCCATGAACCACAGTCCTCACAGCAACTAGTCCATTCTCCAGTTGTTCCCACGTCGGAGGTGGAGCATCTGTTGCATTGTCACCAAAGACAGAATATAAAAAGAAAAGTCAGGAGGGTTTTCCAAAACCAAGTACTAAGAAACCATCAGTATCACACAATTTCACTAGACAACCAAAAAGATTTTATTGGAAACGTGCGCCATTAGATAAAAAGCATTCAGCACCTTAATTCAGGGATATGTACCACCTAAAGAATAAAGCTACCTGTAGACAAGATGGAACCACACAAACTATCAAATGAGCCAGCAAGACTATTATTAGCATGTCAAATTTCCACATAATGGAAAAAAAAAAAAATCAGTCTGAAAATCCCTCCTCACATTCAGACTCCTGTAGGTAAAATCATTCTGTACAAATATCATCATCACTGGCCTAGATCACACAAGCACAGTCACTGAACAGCAAGAGGAATCAATGCCTCTCACATGGAAAAATGTCACAAGACAAACCTATGTATCAGACCACCATCTAACATACAGCAGTGTGAATAAATTGTACAGTCTTAATTCTATAGGGGCAGTTGTTCTTTCTAGCCAATTTGCTTTTCTAATAATTTAATCTGTTCCAGCAGATGACACTCCCACCATGTGCCTACACACTCTGCAGCAAAACGTAGGACCTCAGAGTGCTTCACTGAACACCTTTCAAGATCTTTAGCACAATTGCATTCTATTCTGCTCACAAGGGCTAAATTCTTTCAGAGGAACTTCAACATTACCTACAGAAGAGCAGGGAAGCAACTCAACACCACAGAAGAGAAACATCAAGATCAAACCTACTGAAACTGAGTGAGGCTATTAGTGATTGCACTTTCTGTATCAGTCTCTGGCTAACAAATTTGCAGTACACACAGTTTTGTCCCCAACCTGTTACCGTATGAAAGATTTGGGAAGAAAGCACTACGTCTCCTTTAACTGTAAAGTACAACTGGCCCTCATTTGAAAGGTAAGTTTATTTGTTTAAACAAACAGAATCTAAGAACTACAACTTTTAATCTCCTAAAGTCAGTTTAGGCCTTCACACTATTTTGATATTACTACTGATTTTACAAATACTAATAGGTATAAAATAAAACTTCAGCCACAGCACTTTGCATCTGTCCCTTCCCTTCTCGCTCAGGTGGTCCATCCTCACAGCGCTGCTGACTTTTTCAACAATTTCCATCTTTCTCTCTTATGTCAACAGCTTAGATATTAATTCCAAGTTATATTCTTTCCAACTAACTTCCCTTTCCCAGACTGTCTTTCACACCTTTGCAGAATTACATATTAACAAGAAAAATACTAAATCTCCTAGCATAACAATTCTTTCTTGTCTAGACTGATTTTGCCCAGCTTCTGTCTATTCATCTATCAAAATTCTACTTTGGAATCCAAAGTTGTTTACACAGAAGATGCCTTATGATTTTAAGCTGCCTCTAAGAGAGTCTTCCGAGTGCAATGTCTGCAGTCTAGAGACCTCAGATCAAAAATACACAGAATTTCTAGAACAAAGACGACAACGTATTTTTAGGTAAGTTAATGGAAGTCCTTAATCTGGCATGTGTTTTCTTGAAGACTTCCCCTAGTTTGTCAACAAATTATTTGCTCTGGTAAAGAACTGGAAAGAAAAAGATACTTCAGAGTGACAGCTGAATCTCTGCATTAAGCATAGTGGTTCTATCCATCTTCCTGTTGCTTTGCAAATCTGGTTTCTAATAGCAGCTTTTTTTTTTTGTACTATTTGTACTAAAAAAGGAAAAAGGAGGAAGCTAAGACTGAGGAAGCTAAGAGCAAGAGCAAACTGCACAGGCAGTAGAAGCACAGACAAGTATCCTGAGAAGAGTACAGGGAAGATGCCCGGTTGTGTATGGACGGGGTCAGGAAGGCCAAGGCGTGGCTGGGACTGAATTTGGCAAGGGATGCAAAGAATAACAAGAAGGGCTTCTACAGGTATGTCAACCAGAAAAGGAAGGTTAAAGAAAGCATACCCCCCAATGAACAAGAATGCTGACCTAATATCAACAGACAAGGAGAAGGCTGAGGTACTCAACAACTATTTTGCCTCAGTCTTCACTGACAACCTCTCTCCTCACCCCTCCCAAGTCAATGAACCACAAGATGGGGAGCAGGGGGGTAAATCCCCTCCCACTGTAAGGGAAGATCAGGTTCGAGACCACCTGAAGAACCTCAATGTACACAAGTCTATGGGACCTGACGAGATGCACCCCAGAGTCCTGAGGGAATTGGCTGATGGAGTTGCCAAGCCACTCTCCCTGACTTTTGAAAAATCACGGCAGTCAGGGGGAGGCCCTG